GAGGGTTGAGATTCAATTAAAAATATTTTATATTTTTAAATAAAAAAAATAATTTTTTCATCTATACAAATTTTAATTAAAGAGGGTATTTTGTTCTTTCAACTGAACCCAAGTACTACTGGTTTCCACATAGCTTTATATCATTAAAATAAAAAGCTCTAGTTATCACATAGCTTTAGGGTTTGGAATCATAGCACTTGCAATGACCAGAACCCATCAAATATCTAAAATTCTTCTTCTCTTGTCCACGTATATTTATATCGGCAAAATTGCTTAACTTTGCAGAAATATAAGTGTGTATGTCACGCAAGACGAACAATATATATAATAATTTAATTTAATTAGGGTTTGGATCTGATTCCTTTGGTGTCCCCAAATCTATAAGAAGTAGGATTCCCTTTTTGTGAAAACAGATCCAGTTCCCCTTTGAGGAGTCTTGGGAGAAGTAAAACCTATTTGGACTTGGATAAGATTTTTTTCTAAAAAAAAAGGATGTCATGAAGTGTATTTGTGTGCGAGAAACTAAAATGATACTTAAAAAAAAAAAAAATAGAAAGTTGGGTTAAAGAGTAATTTTATTCCTTAAGTATCTTGGATTTTAAGCTCTCTTTTTTTTGTAGTGTTACCTACTGTTAAAAAAATTTAATTTTAACCATTGGTTGGTCAAAATATTATAGAAAAAACTTTAAAAATTTTTGAATAGGACACAAAATTACAAAAATGACCCAAAATTACATACAATGACTCAAAAAATTACAGAATTTCTTAATTTTTTTCTATAATTTTTTATCATTTAATAATTAAAATTAACAATTATTAACGGTAGGGCAAATATTACAGCATTTTTAAAAGTTAAAGAAAGATATTGCACCAAATCTTAAATATTTCTGGACTTGTAGCTGAGAGGAAATTTTGCCATTTAACCTATAAAGTTTAAAGATAAAGCACTCTAACTTATTTTTACATGACTATATGATTAGGTCATATTCAAAAATTGTGGTTTAATTGGAGATTACTCTCCCAAAGGAATTTATGTATTCACATGGATTCAAATACGAGATTTCCTACTGATTAAGCAGTCCTAATCCTTTTTGCTAGGATTTAACACCCGTTAGTAAGCACTCTAACTTTTAATTAGATATTATAAAGTCAACAAATATTATTTTAATTTGCTACTTATAGGTTCAATCCAACTGGATTTGTGATAAGCCCATTGAATTATTATGCACAATGAGCTATTTCAGATACTTTCATAATCTTTATTCCCCCCGGGGGTATATTTGTCGAAGTAAAAATGCATAAAATTATTATTTTCATATTTCGAAAACCAATACACACATAATAAAAAAATTAATTGATAGCCTTTAAATTTATTAAAAATTATCTTTAATTTTCTATAAATACCCTTATTTAAAAATTAATCCATCAATTACACTAATTTGTTCCCTCATCTTAATGATCTCTTTCAATAGCCCATTAATTTCTCACTCTACCTCATTAGTGATCTTTCCCATACTTTGCTCAAAGTAGTTATTTATGTTTTCTAGAACCCTCGACTCTTTTTCAATTAGAAAAGTTTATTTTCCAAATTCCAATGTTCAATCTGAAAATTTGGTTTGTAACATTGGTATAGCTACCACCATTAGAAAGTTGACAAAATTATGGGAAAGTACGGAGTCGTTAACATGATTTATTAGAGAATAAGGGTAAATTTTGAAAATTTATTTAATGCTTTGCGTATTTTCTAAAGTGACTTGTATAAAAAAGCAACAAATTTTTCTTGAAATTATCGTAAAAAGAAATTGAGGGAGTACTAGTCTTTTAATTAGAGGAGAAAAACTAATTTCAGGCTACATTAATAGGCCAAGTAAATCTTGTTAAGAAATTATAATTATAAATCTGATATGCATTACACAAAGTTTAAGAAATTAAATAAGTTCCGTTTTTAATAATTTATAATAACTATGTGTGTGTGTAAATACTCTTCTAGTTAGGTCAGAGAAAATATTTATTTTGATTTTATTTATAGGATGTATAATGATTATTGTCTTTTTTTTGCCTGAATAATAATTATTGTATCTATCTTTATCTTTTTATCCTTATTAAATGTTAAAAAGATTATTAAATAATATATTTTCTATTTTTAAATTATGTATATTTAATAGAAATAAAGTTAAAAATTTATTAAATTTTTAGACAAAGTTAATAAAATTTAAAATTTTTCCTGATTTTAGTAAAAATACAGTGACTTAATACAAGGGAAAAAAATCATCTCACACATTTTCAAAAAGTTAGTTAATCTTAATAATTATATCTGAAATTAAAAAGTTTGCCTTGTAATTAATATTTGCTTTTTCATCTTATTTAATAATACTATCCCATTATGGAGCAATTTTAAAAAATGTAATAAATGCTTTTCAAAATTTATATTTTTCTTATAAATAGAAACAATGAAATTAATTCTGAAAAAAAAAAGGTGCATGTATAATTGTCATTTAATTTCAAGTAATAACCAGGTTATCAGTTGTAATTGTCTCCCGATCTATTATTTGACTGATAGATTATAGATAACACACGAGCTCTCTTAACAGGCTAGTAGTATATAATAAGACTGAGAAGGAAATTAATTATACGATTTACGAGGAATTAAGGCACATGTGTGGTTGGGTACAAAATGATCACAAGTCAATAAAGTTTGATCTAAAATTCAAGTTCAACTGCTGCCTCGCCTGGACCTTCAGATTTCATTTCCTTTACCGGAAAATAACTTCATTTGTCAACCAATTTGGTAGTAAACCTAAACCCTTATTCTCTTTACAGCAATTCATTACTTTTTAGGTTAAAAAAGTGAACCCTCACTTACTAATCATAATTGATCCTACCTATTCCCAGTCAAGTTCATCACTCCCTGCCTTATTTTCATTATGTATGCAACACCTGTTTGTGTGTGTGTGTCTCTCTCTCTAGATCTATATAATACTTCCTAGCTTTATTTGTAAATCATTTTTAACATGTTTTACTTAAACCAAAAAAAAAATTAAAATTCATTGGCTTTAATTTTTGTAAAAATCTTAAAAGCTTTCAACTTTATTGTATCTTATTAAATATATATACATACACACACTCTATTAATATATATTTTTCTCACCAATATTTAATAGAGGGAGTATCTATTTGTATATATGCTTGGACTTGTGTTTTTCTTTATTTGTTTATTTATTTGGATACAAGCAACAATTGACAAATCTTCTGTATTATCTTTTCTTTGGCCTACCCATGCATGGAAATTAAAGTTTATATATATAATTAAGTTGTAGTCAATCTTTGAGTCATAGCTCAAAGCTCATGAAGCAAGCATTTGGAAATTTTAATTGCAATTTGTGAAATTATGGAATTATATATATGTATGTATATTACCACCAACACATGTTCAAAGTGCCTCGAAAAATAAAATATAAGAGTCCTTGTTAAGCACATCTCCCTCCAAATTTGACCATTATTGGCACACAATAATTAATATATATAGTCTTGGAATTGTTGTGTAACTAAGGTTTGATTAATTATTTGATGATAATCATTGACAAAACAGACCAAAAGTGAGGCGTCAGAAGTGCACATGTTTATATGTATTTTTTAAGAAAGGAAAATTAAGAAAACGTATAAGCCTTGAGAACTCAGCACATAGGGACAAAGAAACAGTGATATGTGAAGAAAGTCTTTGTTTAGGTGAGAATAAAATGGAAATGGGTTGATCAATGAATGGACCACTCGATATACTTACAAGTTACACCTATGCATATTTTGACATTATTATACCTAGCTTGTTGAATTGACGTTCAATTTTATCTTTTAAAATTTCAACTTATCATGTATAATTAGAATTTCAAGCAATAAATTTCATTCTCGTGCTAACTTCATTGATAGATCAATACTCAATAATATATATTATATAGGTCATACTTTTCATAAATTATAAATAATATAATTCATTTTTTAAATTTTTTGTGCATTGAGATATAGCTAGCTTGGTGAATTGAGGTTAATGATCATTTTCAAATATGCATTTCACCTTTCATTTAATCTTTTAAGATTTGAAAAGTTTAAATTTTGGTATTTTAAATAATACTTTACATGTAATTTCACATTCTCATGTTAACTCCATTAAGCTAGTAGACATAGACCACTGGCCAAACAAGAAGTTAATGCGATATTTAATAATCATAATCATTCGCCATTCATACTTGTATAGATTCTTTGTGATGATTACTTTCAGTGAAAATCAAACGCTTGAAAATTACATTGACTTTTTTTTAATAACAAAATTACATTAACTTTTTGTTCGGTCATGTCACCTATATCCTTTAATTAATTTTTATAAAGAGGATTTTTTAAGAAAAATAGTTATTTCAAGGATTTTGACATGGAAAATTAAAGTAAATTATAATCCATCTTTTGAAAATCAACATTTCATTTCACTCGGTACTCCCTCCTGTTCTAAAGATAAGGTTTATTTGGTCCTAAATATAGGGTCTTATTCCCTCTTATTTCCTATATTAATTTTTTCTTTCCCATAATATTCTTATTCATTTGGTTTTTTTTTATCTCAGTGTATTAAATTTTAATCATTAAATGGAAACGACATTTTTTAAAATATAATATGTCACAAATTCTCTACAATAGATTATTTATAAATAATCAACTTATCTACTCTCTTAATTTAACCCTTCAAATTATCTAAGAGGACTTTATATGTTTAGTGCTATATATAGGAAGTACATGTCAAAATAAAAGAGAGTGAGGGAGATAATTGTGTAGCTAAAAGAGAGGTCAAACAATAAAGATAATCACGAGCAAGCAAGATAGGGTCAGAAGCAAGAGAGGTAGATTTTTACAACTGTCAAAGAAAGAAGAGAGAGAGAGAGAGTAAAGCAATAGGAGCTGTCACATGATTTCCAACAGTACAAAAGGGACCATTCGCGTCTGTATCCATTATGTGAGTTTATGACAATTTTAAAGAGAAGAAGAAATCTGTCCGAATATTTTTCCTTCCTCATCAATTTTCTCTCTTCACAAACCTAAAAGTCCTTTCTCCATCTAATATCTTACACTCTTCTGAAAATCTCCATCACTCTATTTCTTCTCCTGCATGATACAAAACCTCAAACCTAAACCAGGTACCAATCTCTCTCTCTCCCTCTCTCCCTCTCCCCCTCTCTATCTCTCGTTCTCGCGTATGGCTCAACCAATATAATATAGGCTTGGAAGAGAAAACACGTATATAGAGGCATATCATATGTGCCTGTTGTGTTAGTTGATTCCTGCGATTATGTTTTCAATAACTAAAGATATCACTTTCGTGATTCTGGGTTTACAATCATGTATGTATGTGTGAGTAATACGGACTTTTGATCTTCCATAGTTTATGATCATAATGATTTCTCTCTCCTTAATTCTAATTCTGACCCAAAGCAGTGAATATTATGCAGACTTTTCAATCTCTACTGAAACAATAAGATATCCTCTATAAGAAACGAAATTAACCAGGACTTGCTGAAGATTTCTGTATCGATTTCATCCAGTATTCTCTTGCTGGGTAATCTCTTTGAAACTACTTTTTGCTGCTGAAATTAGTGTGTTTTTATGTTTTCCCATGATTACAAGTTCTTTTCGATGGTTCTTTCCTAGGTGTGAGTTCATCAGGCTAGTTCAATTAACAATAAAAGTAAATTTTTTACCATAAAAAAACCATACTCTATCTCTTTATTTCTAGCTGGTTTGTTGTAGCCTTCTCTTCCTATTAGTTGATCATAAACAGACACAGTCCTTTGTTTTTTATGTTCAATTCTATCTTTGTTGATTATGGTTTATATAAAAATCTATTCTTGTTGAAATTAATCCTAATTTAGTAGTGAAATCACCTTAACAAAAGGTTTTGTCTCTCACAATCACACACAATTAATTATTCGCTTCTTATATATAGTTACGTAAATGAATAATACAGACGTCTCTTCCTCGGACTTTATTTTCCATTCTATTGCCTGCTTGTACTTTGAGTTTCGTCCCAAGTTCCGTTGGGTTGCTTATATATAAATAGAACTTATATTTTTATTTGAAAAAAAAAATAAGAAGAACTTACATAGGGAGAATTTCAAGCAGGTCCCAAATAAGAAAATTAATGATTTTTCAATCCATTTACAAGTCAAACTTCTATCATTAAATTTCATTATTTACAAATGAACGGAACTTATAGATAATTAGTTTTCTTATTTGAGACCTATACGTAATTCTACCAAAAAACTTATATGCCCAGCACAAAGTCTGATATATATACACATATGAGAAAAGCCTGACATTGAGCAGAAAATTTATTCACAGCTTGAAGGCAGAGAAGTAGGTTTTGGTTCTCTTTACTGTTGGTTGTTACTGTGCGAATCTACCAACACCCTGTATAATTTGTGTTATCGTACAGCTATTTTGAGTGCACTTAAAAATCTTTAAATCTTATATTAATTATTGTGGATAGAGAAGTTATGAGAAGTTATGTTATTGTAATTAATTTCTCATTACATTACAGCCTGTCCTCACACATTCTTATTTATAATAAGTCACTTTGTTGCCTAGCATACCAAACTTTTTAATATATATGTGTGTGTGCATTTATAAATTCGCCTCCATGTTTCACCAGTGAAATGCAAACTTCTTAAAGGACAAAGAGGTTGGATCAGACTTGGCGGTGTGACAGCGATTGGCTAATATTAACATGTCAGAAGACGAACACGAGATTTATAATGACAAAGATAATAAGTGTAATGAGGAAACTTCGCTGGGGTCTTGTTCCCACAAGTGTTCATCGTTTGACTTGAATGAGGAAGCTACCAGTGAAGAAGAAGAACAAGAACAGGAAGAAGAAGAGGAGGAGGAGGAGGAGGAAGAAGAGAACGAGAAAATGAAGGAACACGAGGGAACTTCATCGACAAATAGAAGCACATCTAGAGAACGAAATGAAGGAAAAAGCACTGTAAGACAATACGTCAGATCCAAGATGCCTAGGCTTCGGTGGACCCCAGATCTTCATCTCTCTTTCGTTCATGCAGTTAAACGGCTCGGTGGTCAAGAGAGTAAGAGTTGTGTGTGTGTGTGGTGTGTGTGCGCGCTTACACATATCATATACATTGTGTGTGTGTGTGTTTTCTCAAAATTATTCTTAGCCTCTCAGTGTGTGCCCACTGCCCAACACACAGGTGAATAGAGGGTTTTCGAAATAACAAAACGTAAAATCAAGGGCTCGATTAGTTTAATGAGCCAATAAAACTACGGTGAAAATGTTTATGTGGACCCTACGATTGGTAATAGTTAAGTTACTTAAGTGAATGAATTCATGTAATCATACTATACATCAAATTAAGTAGTACAATATTTATCTATATTTTAAGAATAATCTTAAACGGATCTGAATATAATATTTTAAAGTTCATTGAAATAAGCATAATTTATAGGAAGCAGTGAAATCTTGATTAATTTTGCTGTAATAATAGAAAAGAGATTGTGCAGGAGCAACACCCAAGTTGGTGCTACAGCTGATGAATGTGAGAGGACTCAGCATTGCTCATGTGAAGAGTCACTTGCAGGTGGGTGTGTGTGTGTGTGTGTGTGTGTGTGTAACAGATACAGATTTGCAGTGAAGTTTGTGTGTGCGCGTTAATGTTTCACAAGAACTAAATATTATATAATTGTGCATTTTCTGTTTCAGATGTATCGGAGCAAAAAACTTGATGAGGCTGGGCAAGGTGCGGATTTACATCTTAATAATCTTAATTTTATGCATTTACATGATCTCCATGAACCCTGGTATATATGCTTCCTCTATTTCTTCTATTATATTACATTACCAACCTAGATCTTCTACGTATAAATTTTTTTCATTCACTTTGTAAATGGAGAGGATCCAAAAGCATTGCACTGTCATTCAGTTTCTAAGATAATTCAAACCCTAGATGTGTGGACAAAGGCATAGTTAGAAAATTAGATTATAATGTCGATTTACTAATTTCTTACTGCATATTCGAATAATTCAATTCATAAGACTTGTCATATAATTCAGTACATATGTAAATGTGCGTTCTAGAGTTTCTGTTATGAGCATTCCAAAAAGAGAGCTCATATATATATATATATATATATGTATATATCCTAAAAGGCTAATTTATTAAAAAGAAACCCTTAAATTTATAAACCTCATCTTTTTTATATGAGATTCATAACAATGCACCCCCATTTTTAATGATTGGAATTTCCATTCTACAATACTTCACTCAGTATTTTCTTGATTAGAAGGCTATGTGAGTAATGTTGTTCATGAAAAGGGCCTATTAATGAAAGGACCAATGTTACCGGTACAAATTTAAAAAAAAAAAAAAAAGTTTGTTCTGAAAGACTTAGACATGAATTCATAAACTTTACTTCTCTTGTGAGCTCCTGACATGAGATAGTTTGTAAGATATTCAAACTTCAAACAAGAGACAGTAACCTCTGATTAAAGCGAAAAACGTTCTTAATTACTGAGTAATCTTACTATTTTACCTTCATTAATCTCAATTTTTTGCCTCAATAACAAAAATCAGAGATAGGAATCTAGCTTTAGGGAAACTATGGCTAGGACTAGGATTATACAGACTGCTAGTTGTACGTCGTACTTACTATTAATTGTGCTGTTCGAGACAATTAATTGACAGCACACTCGTAGTAGTCAAAATTTGATTTGTTTTGTCGTCTAACTAGACGTTTATCAAAATCAAACTGAAAAGGAGAACAAGCAGCTTCGTCGCTGTACTATTATTAAAAATTATTTATCATTTTCTATATATATCTCCATTCATATATCAACGCATCTATATAAGGAGTTACAAATTTAAGAGTATACAGAGATTGTTAGTATACGTAGTAATATCCAAAAATATTATTGTTAAGGATTATTCTAAAGTATCCTTCAAAATATAACAGACTCTTCTTTCTGATAAAGAATCGTATGCCAATTAAAACAAAAAAAAAACACAAAAAGAGATAGATATAGGAAAATTAGCTAGATGTTGTACCTCAAAGACAATGATAACTCCAACACACACTATATTTATAATAGCATAATTAATAATTCTAATTTATATGATATTGTCATGCTAATTAGTAAATAGTAATTCCTACATGCTTCAAAGTGAATTTGCAAGGGCCGAGGGCTAGTTAGGGTTATATATATGTACTTCATCATCATAAACTATCTGTATATAAAACCAAAAGTCTCTGAGGATATCTGATAAGTTAATTAATTAGTTAAGTTTTACAATGCAGTGATAAATCAAACGTACAGATCCTCCCAAATTGGTCGTGTTTCGCAGTTATCGTATCAATCTGTGAATACAAGACAACAATTCAAGATGGGAAATGGTGGAATTATTCTAACGAGCAATTGCAACGACCATAGTGGGTTTGTTCATGGCCTCTCCAAGCCTTATTTTACCCACCCACATACAATGGCTACAGAGTCAAGGTAACATCGGATTCTTTTTTTCTTTGGACCAACACATCGGATTCAATTGTATATATCTCTTTAGTTATATATTATGCATTGAAAATAATTGAAACAATCTTATATGTGTTCAGGCATGCACTAGGCTAGATGTAAAAATACCTCACATCGTGACTGAAAAGTAACCGTGTTTTCAGTTGACATGGAGGGTCTAAATTTATTCAGAATGCTTTTCATTTATGATAAAAGGATGCTCTACTGTGTACATACATGTGTGTGTTGGTTGGATAGTCAAAATTAATTCAAAATAATTCAGTTTTCTGCATGAAAATGAGGGAATCCATATATGAAGGTTAGTTCAAGAGAGAATGACATGTCTTTTTACATAGGAAAAATCGCACTTAAGAATCGTTATAAAATGTTATTTCACAAGGACTAATAAAAAGTTACTATTCATAAAAAAATCACTCTTTATTTCTTTTTTAACGATAATCAATTTTATATTATTAATTTTTTTTTTTTTGTGAATAACATTGGCAAACGGTATTTCGGTGTGATTTTCCCTTTCATACAACAATGCATGACACTTGAGACCTACTTGGAAAAGGGATTTAATTTCATACAAAATCCAATACATACAAGTAATGATTTTTTACTATTATAAGTTAAAGACTAAAGTTTCCCATTCATGTGCAAATTAAAATAAAATTAACTATGACGTAACATTATTTAAGAAATTGAGGAACTATTTTAACCCCCCAAAAAAAGCATAAAATCAAATTGAAAGTCCATTTATAAGTTTCCATTCAATTGTCCTCAATTAAGAGCATCCTTATACTTTATTCAATTCTCTTTGAATTGTGTTTAGAATTAATATATATATATATATATAGATGAAGTCTATATTTTATATTTCTTTTATCTATTTGTTATTATGAATAATTAAGTTTGCAGTTAATTAGAAAATTACTTCCATCATGCATCCTGCTTTGTCGAAACCCAAAAAACAAAACTCTAAGTAAAAAAATAAAATGTTTAAATCATCTAGATCAAATATAAGTTAAATTTGACAACTAGATTAAGTGAGAATCTTCTCAATTAATGTTCGCCTCCATTAATACATACCATTCCACCACATAGAATTATTCTTTCTAGTTAAGACAAAGAACACATACAATTTTGCATGAACGCACGAACATGTTAGCAATGGCGGGGCCATATTTATGTGAGGGGAGCAAATACGACCCCCTCCCCATAGGAATATTGCATATATTCTACCACCCATACCTGCGCTCAATTTTTTTTTTTTAGATTTGATATTTTAACTCTAAAATTTTAGATATATGATATTTAGAAAAAACTAATTATAAATTTTTAAATTAAATTGTTATGTGTCCTCTGACTTAGGATCTTGACCCTATCATTGCATGTTAAGGTGGGTGTGGGATGACTCTAAAACTATTTCCTTCTCGAATGATATATATAATATGATTGCAGGCATCAACAATGGCAGTTAAATAACGAGTGGTATAGAAGGCAAATTTGCATGACAAGCAACCAAGTGATGATGCCCTCAATAACAGACCGAATTGCACCAATTAGAGGCAGCCAATTCCTGGAAGAGAGAAAGTGGCCTCCATTATTAGACACTCTAAGTAATCACAACAATAATAACCATTATTGGAAGTTCAATAAGATGTCACCTACGAGTAGCCATATTATTAATACTTGGGCTGATTCACAATCTGGATTTCACCAACTTGGTGCCAATATGCATGCATCTGTGGAGCCACCTGATGATCATTGGAGATTTGGAAATAATGTCAACACTTGTACCAACAATTCCAAGAGTTTAAAGCTTGAATTTGAGCCCCCATTTCGGATCAAGGTAATGCTAATATTACTTTTTAACTATCACTTTTGCAACAGATTTTTTTCCTATTTATCTGCCAGTTAAAATTTTAAGACAGTATTGATTATTATTTCCTAATTATATACACTTTTATAATTTTAAAAATTCCGTGGTAGTATTGATGATTACTAAAATAATTTAGGGGCATGTAAGAAAGGAAAAAAGAATTTTGACATATTTAACTGTATTTTTTAATTTGTGTGTCAAAAGCTTACTCGTTGATCCTTCTAGACTACAATATAGTATACTTTCTCCATTCAAAAATATAAGACATTTTTTGAAGAGTTTGATGTTTAAAAATGTAAGGCATTTTTATTCTTTTGAGGTGTAATCATTACTTTTTTTTTTAAAGTACCCCTATTGATATTGACTTTATATTTATTGTAGGGTGTTTAATAGGGGTAAATATAAAAAGATAAGGTTAGTTTAAAAGTAGGTAATTACTTTATTAAAAGTAAAATTCGGTTAAAAATGATTTATATTTTTGAATGGAGGAAGTTTATCGGTAACTTCTTCACCATTCTAAAAATACTTAAATAATGAAATTTTAATTTTTTTAAAAAAAAAATTTACATCTTTCCAATTATACAATCTTTAAATATCCTATATAAGTATTTTAATAATGATAATTAAAATTTCAATACATTATTTTTTTCAAAAAAGAGTAATAAATAAAACAGGGATATATATATATATATATCGTTGGAAAAACAATTAGAAAAATTATCCAGTGCGCTATATTATAATCAAAGGGAGGAAATAAAAAGAAGCCAAGGGATTATGGTAGAACCTTAACACTTGAGCACACATGCTGCTTTGATATTTTGTCTTCACGGTATCTTTAGATATGCTCATATCAAACTCGAACGAGAAATAAGCAGGGCCAAGAAAAATATTAACAATATATAATATTTTTCTGTTCTTCCAACATTAATATATAGTTATTAATGAATGATATTCTCCTTGATGAATGATGATATGTATGCCTGCAGTTAAATGAAGAGAAACAGGAGAAAGACGAGCGAATGTTGCCTGATCTGCAACTAGGATTGAATTATCAGAATGCTGATGATTGCAAAGAAGCTCAAGAAATTAACACTAAGCTTTCTCTTTCTTAGAATATATATATCTCTCAGTTCTCAGTTACATATAATAGATATATATATATATATATATGATCAATAGTGCAAATATATATATACAACAATGAACTCAGAGATAATCTTTCATAAACAAAAATACAGGTACACATAGAGTTACAAGACCTAATTTTGTGGGCTTATAACTAGTATATGTATCTAAATTTTGTTCTCTTTTTTTGGAATAGGATTAGACCTGAAAGTGAAATGTATGTGATTGATAACCTGATATAAGCTAGTGAATTCCCATGGGCTATTCTATAGTACGGGTGAGGCATTAAATATTTCAGGAATATGAGTTTTTGGGTATAGCTTACATGTGTGGTGTTTTGGGTTTGATAAATTTTACTGTGTAGTTCAAATTATTATTAATACATTTGATTAATAAGAGTTAATAGCTTGAATATGAGTTTTTCTTGTAACTGCTGTAAGTCTTGTGTGTTTAAGCAGATAGAGTTTGGCTAATGAGCGGTACTATTCATGGCTAATAATAGTGCTATTCATTATTGGAGTTTGTGTATGTTATAACTGTTATATGAATTTTTAAAAATAAATTGGTATGGTGATTAAATATATTTTTCTACCATCATATTATAATAGGCTTTGCCAAAGAAAGATAAAGGCGATGTTTTAAATACTAAATCTAGAGTACGTTAATTTTAATAACATCAGAGAACCGTCATATTGCTTTTTCTTTTGTCTTCTTTTTTTTTTTTTTGGGTGGTTGCCTAAAGTATCTCTCAACGCGGGTCGTAAAACTAATTTTTCAAAAAATCTGAATCCCATTTGTAACATCAGAGAGTCCATTATTTATTTTTCAGAAAAGTAAAAATTTGTAATATCTAATAAGTAATGTATATGAAATATGAATTAACCAACGGTGGATGTAGTACTCTCTCCAATTCTTAAGGGAAATATTTATTTGTAGTTTGTCCAATAAAAATATAATATTTAAATGACATTAAATATAAATTAATTTTGATAATGATAGTAAAGAGAGAAAAGACAAGAAATTAAATGTGCTTTTTGTTATAAAAATAAAATCAATTAAAAAAATCACACAAGCTTTTATTTAGATTACTTAGAGTATTTTAACTTGACAAACTATAAATAATGTGGTACACTTGGTCTACCTAAGTATTTCTTAATTTTTAATAAAAAGAACATTTTAAAAACTTTTTTTATTCTTAATATAAGGTAAGGTTGAAGTAATGAATATTTTTTAAATTTTACCCTTGTTTATTCATTGATTGAATTCCTAGATAATAATTTAATATAGTTATTAATTGTAAATAATGACAAAATTGAAAATTTTTATGCTTTTAATAATTTAAGTATATAACTATTATGTCTTAATAAACACAAAGTTAAATTTGTATTATATTAAAAGTGAAGAGAATATAATAAAAATATTGTGAACATTGCAACAAAATTTTTCACATTCTGCACAGTGCACAAAATCTTGTTTAATTTATCCAATAATTATAAGTATTGTCTCCCCAAAAGAACATCTATATAGATATAAACAAAATTTACTTTTTACTATGCACTATCCATGATTATTTCTAATGTTTTATCAATATAATATATTAAGAAAAAAATTAGTAAAGTCCAAAATAAAACATATTTCATATCCCTCCTCTCTCTCTCTCACACGTTTGTTTCCAATGAAATTAGATATAGGGTATCTTCTCAAAGTTTTGTTTAGTTTAAAATATAGGGCATTTATATATTGCTCTTTTTGAAAAAAAGTGATGTATTGAAATTTAAATTGTCATTATGAAGTTACTTATATAGGATATTTAATGAGAGTATAATTAGAAGGATGTAAATTTTTTTAGAGATTAAGATTTCAATAATTTTTTCAGAATTGTAATTAGTTACAATATCTTATATTATGGTCTAAATGGAGTAATAATTTTTAATAGCACTACTATTATTTTAATCCTTTGTCCATTAATTTATCATAACAGAAACATTCTCTGAATTGGGGATAGTTGGTGAGCACTATGAATGAGCATTAATATTCTATCTTCTGACACAGCTTTCATGTTAATCAACACTACGGCCCAAGTGGGTTGATGAATGAGCTTCATTGATTATCATAAAGAATAATAGATTCAATCGAATTTGGATGTGTGGACGGTATATATATTCTCTCCTCTATCCCCGTGATGCATCTCACATTTAATTTATATTTTCTACATTTTGAACTTTTTATTCTTAAGTATTTTTCAAAAGCAAAATGCTACATAAAATATCCAAATTTCAATAATAAAAGACAAATAAAGAAAGAAAGGAAAAAAACTTGCAACACAAATATATAATTGGGATACTTAATCTGTTACTCTTTATAATTTTCTTGAATTTTAAATTAGGTTTCTGCAATTTATTTATGTTAATCAAGTCTTTATAATTTGATCCATTAAATATATTAATCCTTGTTAAAATTAATAATAAATTATTAACTTTTCCCAAAATAAAAATACTTTTGAAGTTTATAGAAAAATTGATTTAGTACTTTTATTTGAAATCAAAAAAGGACTATTTGGTTTAATATACTGTTTATATTTTTATCAATCTTTTATGAAAATTCTATATTTATAAAAATTATTTATAAGACCACTTAATTATATAAATTTTGAGTTATAAAAATAATATAAGTAATTCTAAAGTCATACAATCTTTTAATAAAATACAAATGTTCTTAATTTTCTTTTTCTAAAGGAAAATTTTAAGGATTTTAACATTTAATGATTAAAAAATTAAATAAATTAAACTATAAGAGTCATCAAAACAAAAGAAACTGTAATGATCTAATTTAAAATCGAAAAAACTATAAGAACGCGTATATATATTTTTCCTATATAATTTACAGTATCTGTGGGTACATTCATAAATTTTGCAAAAGCTATCAAATCTTACTTCTCACAAGAATCACCTCAATTCTTCCATAAAAACACTTTCAGAAGCTTATATACAATTCTCCCACCTTTTTATTGCCGATGATCTCATCCTCTTTGGTAACACTTCTATAGAACAGTGTACAGTTATTCAACGTGTCTTGCAACAATTCTGCGCTTCTTCTGGTCAAGTTATAAGCCAAAGGAAAACACAGGTCTACTTTTCTAAGAATGTCTCAACTATAATTAGTAATGCTATTTGTAGTACTTTGGGCTTCCAATGAACAGATTCTTTGGGTCGCTACCTTGGAGTCCCTCTTGTCATTGGAAGGGTCTCGAGCAGGACTTACAATTATATCTTAGAAAGAATTCAAACCAAACTCTTTGGATGGAAGAGCCAAGCTTTATCCTTAGCAGGACACATTACCCTTGCTAAATCTGTCCTCACTTCAATTCCTTTCTGCACCATGCAGAGCACTTTACTTCCATTGTCTTGCTGTCATGCCATCGAAAAACTTATCAAGAAGTTCATTTGGGGCTATTCAGAGGACCACCATGGGGTCAACTTGATCAAATGGGAAGACCTTTGTCAGCCTCTAAAACATGGAGGTTGCGATCTCTTAAATGTTGAGGCATAAAATAGAGCTTTCATATCTAAATTGGCTTACAAGTTGGTTACTGACCCAAATAGTCTCTGGATGCGTGTTCTCAAAAGCAAGTACAGAATACCTACTGGCATTCCTCATGATATTAGTAGGAATAAATCTTCCTACTTATGGAGAAGCATTACTAAAGTATGGCAGGATACATCTTTCCATAGAAAGTGGAAGCTAGGCAATGGCTATAGCATTCGCTTCTGGTTAGATTTTTGGGTGGGTGACTCGGGTCCTTTAAACCTCTTATCCTTTGCTGATATACCTAGCCATGAGTTAGAAAGACCCATAGTAGATTTTGTTGATGAAAACAGGAATTGGAAATGGCCTCTTTTTGGTCACCTTCTTCCAGAGAATATTCTTAAGGAAATTGCAAATGTAACTCTGAGTGTTAATCCCCACGATAAGCCTTCTTGTTTTTGGAATCTGACTAAGGATGGAAGTTATAGTATCAAATCAGCTTATAATGATTCTCAGTCTCTTCACTGGAAAGCTGAGGAATTCAACTGGATGCAAGTTTGGAAATTGCCAACTACTCAACGAGTTCGAACTTTCATGTGGCTTCTCTTCAAAGGCCGTCTCCTTACAAACTCTGAACGTCTCAGGCAAAAAATGACAACGAACCATATGTGTACTCTATGTAATAGCCCATAAGAGAATATTAATCATGTATTTAAGGAGTGCCACCTAGCAACTACTGTTTGGAAGAAGGTGCTCCCTCTAGATATGCAAACTGACTTCTACAGCATGAACATTGAAGCCTGAAGCCTGGCTGTCTCACATTTTGTGCAATCGGCATGTTAACATCTCTTGGAAAATAGGAGTCTCTATACTGTGCTGGAAATTATGGGAGGCACGAAATCTTTGAATCTTTGCTGATGAATCTTCTACTGCTGATAATATCTTATTTAAAGTCAGAGCACTAGTAGATCACACTGTTAACACCTGTAGGATATTTGATGCTTATTGTAATCTTGGCTCTTAGCCTTTTGTTCCTGTACAGTCTTTTTAAGCAATACAATCCTTTCCACTCCAACAAAAAAAATAACCAAAGAGACACAATCGATACACATAGCTAATAATATAATTTAATTTATGAAAAAAATAAGTGATATAAATCACACACACACATAAAGTGATACAGACTAATTTGTGTGTGTGTTTTGGGGGAGGCCCACTTCCTCTCATTTGACCAACTTTATAAGTCCCCATCTTGCCCCTCTATTTTAAATCCACATAAATAAATAAAGTATTTACCCTCATCAAGGCTAATTTAAAATAATAAAATATAAATTACTTCTTTCATTTTAAATTATAGGATACTTTTAAAAAAATTTATTCTAAAATATAAGATAATTTGGGTAGATTAAATTTTTATTAAATATGATGATTTTAATATTATCCTTTTTTTCTATAATTAATTTCTGTCCCTTCTCTTTTCAATATATTAAATGATGGGTATTTTAATTTTAAAATTTTATATTTTTATTTTAAAAAAATAATATTGTTAAGTATATTGAATAAGATTTATTAGTATATAAAATTTTATCTAAAAATATCTTATAATTTGAGACGAAAGGAATACTTCATTTCAATTATGTCATTAAATTTTATCAAAAGTTTCTTCTTTTACTCCCATTAAATATTAGTGAAAGAAAATACATTAATAAGAATAATATTTAAAAATTATTAAATTTTTAAATAGAGTTAATATATTTTAAATTTTTTTTTAATTTCAGTTAAACATATTGAAAAACCCTAAATAATTTTTAAATAGAGTTAATATATTTTAAATTTTTTTTAATTTCAGTTAAACATGTTGAAAAACCCTTTTAGTGTATCATCTTATCCAGAGAATGGGTGTGAAGCAGGTGTGGTTGCAAGTAGGGCCACTGAGCATTCATCATTCATGCACTCTCTCTCTTTATGGCAAAGGCTTTTTTGGTTAACTTTACCTGTCATCAATTAATTGTACTCACCGTCACATATCTCACTTCATTCAAAATATCAAATAAATGAGTTCAACTATTCATCATTCATTAATAAGAAAATGAAAGGGAAAACATTTGGGCTTACAAATCAACCCATGTACTTATAGCTTCAACATGGTAAACTATTATTAAAAAAAAAAATCTATTTTTTAATAGGAGGATACCGGTATAAATTTTTTTTTAAAAAAAAAAAAACTTACAAGCCTAAGGTTCTATGGGTCATAGGATTTGCCCATTCTTCTAAACACTAAAAACCAGACTGATTAAGGTACTTGTTCAATGGTTAATAATAAAAACTATAATCAAATTGATTATAAACAAATCATTCTATTAAATCATTCTTTAATACTTTATTAGCTTAACTAGGTGGGTTGACTCGAATTTAGATACTATGACGTATTAGAAGTGATTCTTCTAATATTTTTATTTATTTATTTATTTACAAGGCTTGACAGTATTTGGAATTTTTTTCCCCCTCTTTCTACTCAACCTTACTCTGTTGGATTAATGAATAGATTTTAGATGATTTTTATTGGACTTGTCCAACCTAACACTTTAATGGGCCAAACCTAATCCTTTTCAAAGTGTCCCAAGATTACGTTATATGGAATTATTAGCTAATTCAAATTCAAGTCAAATTAGGCTCCAGCTAAAAGTAAATTTTTCTAATCCAATTTTTGTTTTATAAAGGATGTGAAAGCTTGGGACTTCACCTTGCATTATTGCGCTCTCTCTCTCTCTCTCTCTCTCTCTATATTGGGACTTCACCTTGCATTATTGCGCTCTCTCTCTCTCTCTCTCTCTCTCTCTATATATATATATATATATATATTGTTTTAGGGCACATTGAGTATGTGGTGGCCAATTGACTGCTTGTCCAGAATCTTAATACGAACAGGACCATACCGTTTGGCTATTGTTTTCTTGGCTTATCGCTTTCTTCATTCTTCCATTATTGTTTCCTATTTCGTCTTCTTACCGTTCCGTCAAGTCACTCTCATGTGTCTCCATTTCTTTGCATTAAACGTGTATACATTTTGTGCGCATCATCTTATTATTAACAGCATGTGATCTCAGCCGTTTATTTTAAATTTATTTTTTTACTATTTTTAACATTATATTATCAAAATAAAAATTTATAAAAAATATAAAAAATTTAATATTTAATATGGATTGTCTTTTAAGCTCAACAGGAGATGAGTACCATGTGACTCATTTCAGCTAGAGATCTAAACTCTCCATATTTAAAATTTTTCATTTTTATTTTATATTTATTAAAATAAAAATTATAAATTTTTAATAAATTTATTTATAATCAATTTGGTTAGTGCAAATTTAATCTAAACTATCTATTTTAATATTATATTTTTTTTATACTCTTATAATTTAACTATTCAAATGTACTTTGAACATTATAGACATAATTAAGATAATATAATTTAATATTAAAATTTTTTATAATTTTCATAAATTAACTATTTAAATATATTTTATATTGTATAAATTTAATATTAATAGTTTTCATATTTTTTATAAATTTTTATTTTAGTAATACAGTATTAAAACACTGAATACTAAATTTAAAATAAACAGTATAGATCAACGGAAGATAAAATCACGGGCTCAAATGAACCCTTAAAGTGATAAGCACGAAATATGCTTGCTGCATTTAACATATAATTTATACAAACTTTTTTTTTTATTTTTTGTTAAAAAAAGGCCTAAATTTAATTTTAAATTTTGAAATGTTCAAAGATTTTTTATTTATTGTTTTGAATATAATTTTATACTGATTAAATCTTTTATTTTAAATTTTGATCATATTGTTTGTGGCTCACAATGTTGCTACAGCATCATCACAAAATTCATACAAAAGACCCGAAAGATTTCAATAAAAAATGAACACATGGTAGGTTACAACTCAATACTCGCAAAATTTCTTTAAAAACAAAAAAGATGAGAACAATTACTATAAGCCTGTCAAAGCTCGTTAATAGCATAGCACAAGAAACACCAGAAATGCAAGACAGTATATCTTTAGATTCATCTCAGTTCAGAATCAATTTGATAAGTACACCGATATAAATAAACAATTGAGCATGAGTAGCATCAATCATTCGTGTAGTTGACATGAAAATTGCAGATACAAGAAGATTCAGGACCAAAAGAGGGAACCTAAACCTAAGCAAGCAGTGTGAAATGAAAATACTAGATAACAAAGTGATAGTACACACAGCAAAAATGGTGGTTTCAATCTTCTCAAGTTAAGAAACTATGATCCACCAAGACTTGCAACGAATCCAAATGCTTTGTTTCCTATGCATCAGCAAAAGGATCTCGATATCTCTCTATACAAACATAATAAAAACAAAAGTCACTAGGGCTTGAGTGTAATACGTCAACAGATGAAAATAAAACACCGAGTCCTCAGCCCCGCACGGAGTGAAAGAAAAACCAGCACTCACATTTCTTATAAAAATGAGAACCTAATCAGCCATGCCAAATGTGGCCTAGTACCTATGATATCATGAGGAAAAGCAGTAGTAGGAGTAGATCCAACAAAAGGGCGCAAAAATCTAGGACCATAGTGTGAAAGATAGGCCACCAAGTTCCGTGTTTATGACTTCGAATGCTGAGATTTTCTTGTGGTTAGTTCCTGTAGAGAAAGCTAGATGTGAGTTTTAGCCATTGTCACGACTTGACAACTGACCAGACTAATAGATTGACAAAAAGCTTTGAGATTACCTGAGAATATCGCACATGATCATGATGCAGATTCGAAGTTTTCACTATTGTTTCCCACTTGGAATTGCTGGATGCTGTATTAGAATCCGGCCTTTTAGAATGCGGCTGAGCACCCTGATTTGAATGCAGGAATGAATTCTTTATAGAAACTAAAGGCAGAGCACGCCAAAGCCAGGACTCGGAAGGTGATTTTGGCAATGGTGGGGGGAGAGGAGACAGACCAGAATCAACTTTACCATTTCCTAAATTTTCAGCTACAACAATTTGCTGGTTGTTGATATTTGAATCTTCACTAGTTTTCCCTTGTACAACTTGTGAAGATGCATATTCTCGGTGGAATTTTTTATTTATTACCAGTTGTTCCGCTCTATTTTGTTGCGATTCCAACAGGGGCCTGGTAATTAACTTATTTGAAAGAATCAAAGATTTGGCATCTGTAGAATCCGACATACCTTTACCTTCCAAAGCTTCTATTTTCTTCATATCTTGAGAAGATTTTGTACTGGAACAATTTTCAGTGTTTATTTTCCCCGTGTTATCTACAGAACTTGAATTTGCACGTGACAATTTTACTGTACTTGCAGTATCTATGTACAATGTCTTTTCAACAGTGGGGCTCTTCTTGCCTTCTTGAGATGCCATCTTCTGAATGTTTACATGGCCTTTTTGCAGGAATCTCAGTTGACCAGATAGATTATTCACAGCTTCTTTAGGGTCCAGTGTCGCTCCACGAAATGGTGACTGAGGTTTACTTCGACATGGAGAAACACCAGCTGCAGCAGCTCGTGATCGTCGGAAGGGAGATAACCTACCTGGCTGCTGCAATTCACCCGAGTAGTTAAACCTGTTCGACTCACTAGTCCACTTTTTCCTAACCTCTTGCTTCTCAGGTGATGCAGCTCTAGAGCTGGATTTTTTCTTAGAAATAGCATCCCAAGCCTGCAGAAAACTAAGATGTTAAACTGTTAAAAAGCTTTTCAATAGTTTAAGGTGTGCATCTTTATAATTGTTAATTTATCATTGATTGAAAATAAACAGTCTGATGCAGATAAAATGACTGTGATGTGATATTCTAAAAACAGATGACCCTGATCAGGTTTTGGCGCATACACGATTAGCGCAGAGAGCAAGAGTCGTGTCGTACCTTCTTTACAGCAGGAACTGGGCTAAAAGATCGTCTCTGAGAGCTTTTGGTTGGTTTCTCAACCTCATAGGTGATAGACAATGGAGCCTGGTTGCTCATTTTCACCCCAGGAACAGAATTTGATGAGCACAATGAATTCCCAATCCGTAATTGGGGAATCAACCCACAACCCTTAGCTGAAATATCTGTTGATTCTTCATAATGATCACCTTTATCTTCATCTTCACTTTCTTCCTCTTGACTCGGACCATTATACGGTATGATGGCAGAAATATGTTTATTAAGCAAAGGCTTCTTCTCCTCAGGAACCAATTTCTTAATTTCTCGAGGCTGCTCTAATGGTCCAGAATGCTTTCTTGTAGCATACTGAGGAGGCTGCAAAGTCATTGCTTTTGCTGCAGGTAAGAAGCGGCTCATCATGAAGTCTCGAGTTTGCGGGTCTGTAGAGAAGGTTCCAGACTTCTTTGCGTCAAAATTATCTAATCCACTCACACCACTAGCACTACAATTCATGGAGAATGATCCTGTGAAAGACAGTTTGTCAAGGGCATCAGAGAAAACGTCGTTGTCGTCATTATCATCTTCATCCGCCTGCAAATTTGATACTCTTTTCTCCTCTTTTCTTTCTCTGTCACAATCTAATCTAACAGCATTAACATTGAATGAACTTGATTTGCTTGTTGACTTGAATTTGTTTGTAACTTTACTCTCCTTTTCCACTGGCTTTTTAGTAGCATTTGTGGACTTGCCTGGGGGAAGCCTTGGGCTTGGAGCAATTGTGGCCTCCTTAGGAGGCTGAGCAGGTTGAGATCCACCGTTTCCCTTTCGCCTTCCCGGAATATGCTCCCAATTGAAAGGAACAGCAACGGGCTCAGTCACCAGATCCAAACTCGAGTCTGATTTGTAGTTTGGAAGAGTGTGCCGCTTCTCTAATATCTTCTTCTTTGCTTCAGTCAAGGAAGGGGAGGTAGCAGAAGAACGTCTCACAGACATAAGAGGAGCATGAAGGTTCAATTTCCTTTCAGCCATGCTGCTCCAGAATTGAACTATTCTAGATGTAACCCCTCTTTTTACAGTCCCACTTCAAGACAATGTCAATATAGTATTGAAAAATCCCTGATGAAAAATCTGGAGAGGGAAAAAAGAATAGAAAATGGAAGAATTTTATCAATAACGTTTCGAGATATCCTGCCAGCAAACACACCACAAAATACAAACAGCAGATTCTCAGATTAAACAACAGGGCTTGGAGGAAAATCAAAGAAAATCCCCTTTGCACTGGAAGCCAAAACATTTCGAGGAATTCTTCAATTCTCGTCAATAACATATTAACAACGAAAAGCCTCATGAATGAAGTTAAAAATAGTATAGAAAGAATTGACGTCAACATCTATGAATCATAATTGAACAGAGAAAGAACAGAAGAGCTTCATCATAAGCTGAATCCAATCAAACTCGTTAAAAGCACTAAGCAAGCATGGCCATGGAAGTAAAATATCCCTAAAGAGAACCCAGTACTTACAATGAGATCTAGAGGTTACAAGGCAGTGGCAAATCAAGGAAATGATGGAGAAAATAGTAGAAAATAGAGAGAGAGAAAGCAAGATCACCTCGGGAGAGTGAGAGTGAAGGGGAATATCTTGAACAGATCACGGGGAATGGAATGGTGAGGCGCTAAATGGTGCCGGAGAGTGTGGGGTTAATGAGTAAGACAGAAGAAAGAGAAGCGCAGAGAGAGAGAGAGAGAGAGAGAGAGAGAGAAGGAAAGATGATTTACAGTGAGCTCCTCCCCCTCATCTGCTTTCTTTGTATTTTCAGTTTTTCAAAGTTTGGCTCCTCTGAAAGCGTAGAGAGATGTGAGACACTTATTTTTTTTTTATTAAAACAACAGAAAAGTAAAAATAAAAAGAAACGGGCAGAACCGCAGAAGGCGTAAGTGTGGAAGGCCTGAGTCGCAATCTCATTGAAGTCCATTAGACCCGAACAGAGTATGAATGCGTTTTACTCGTTCGGTATAAAATAATCCAAAGAAGATCTATGGTTGGAAGAAGGAAACAAAAATGTACATATATACTCAATCTGTTTAAAAATATAAAATATTTTAAATTAAATTTTATTTTTAAATAAAATAATTATTTATTTTTAAATTAACTCTATCTTTTTATATTTATCTTTATTAAATACTTTAAAATAAATATAAAGTCATTATTAATAGAGACACTTAAAAAAAATAATTACATTTCAAAAAATTAAAAATGCCTTACATTTTTTAGCATCTAACTCTTCAAAAAATACTTTATATTTTTAAACTGAGGTAGTATGTATATATATATATATATCCAAGGAAGTTCCCCCTATTAAAAATTATTCTTTGAATTAAATGGCAAATTAAGCTCTAAATTGAGATCAAGAAGTGTCTAAAGCTCTAAACTTGTTTTTATATAATATTACCTTTCAATTTTTAAAAATGGTGCAATATAACTTCTATCATTAATAAAATTTAACTTTCATTATTAATTGACAAAAAATTGATAGATAAGGATATCAAAAATTATAAAAAGGGCTAATAAAAATTTTTTAGTGCTTTTCCTATAATTTTGAGTTATTGTTATAATTCTTTAGTCATTTTCTATAACAATTAAGCTTTTTTGTCATTTTTTAGTTAATTGATAGTAAAAAAATTTGTTAAAGGTAGGTTGCGGCATTATATTGGTATAAAAAATAAATTTAAGATCTTAGACATTCTTATATCTATAATTTAAGAGTCAGTTTTTTATTTAATCCTAGTTTTTTTATAATATCAGTTATGTTATAAAAGAGTAAATTAATAATAGTTAAACTCATTATTTTTTTCCTTAAAAATAGGTAGCATATATCAATTTAAATAACTGTAAGTGTAAGAATTTTAATTAGAAATAAGAATTTAATTTTTAAATGTAACTCTAGTTTATAACTAAAACTTTTGTTTATAGTTTTTTAAATCAATATTTAAAACTTATTAATAGAAATTTAATTATTGTTAAGTCAATCTTTTAAAACTTATATTTCATTCTCTCTTTTTTTTTTTTTGGGCTAGGATCATAAATTACATTGATTGTTTCATCGAAGGATATGATAATTTTTTATAATTTTTAAAGATCAATTTTATTATAAGTTACAAAAGGCTTACTATTAGACCAAGGGGAGGATGGAAATGATCATCAAAGTTATTTGAACATGTAACTTCTGTAAAATGGAATAGTATATTTATTAAAACTGATATAGTCAGATTAATTTTTTAACATAATTAATTTTTATATTTTTCACAAAAGTATAAAATTTTGTATTTTTTTATATAACATTTTTCAAAAAATATAAATTATATATAAACATATACTCCCTTCATTTAAAAATATAAGATATTTTTAACCGAATCTCGCGTCCCATAAAATAGTTACCTACTTTCAAACTAACTATATCTTTTTATATTTATCTCTATTAAACACTCTATAATAAATATAAAGTCATATCAATAGGGGCACTTTTAAAAAAGGCAATGATTACACATTAAAAAACTAAAAATGCCTTATATTTTTTAACAGAAGGAGTATTATTTTTCAAATATTCAGTTTTTTGTTGTAAGAAAATTATTTTACTTTCAAAATAATTTTCCTATAGCCAAAATTTATTTTTAATTCTATCTTGATTTTCAAATATGTAAGTATTCTATTGTTTTTCATATATAATTTTATCAAAAAATTCTAAATATAAAACTTTTTACTCATAAATTTGAATTTTCAAGTAGCTAAAATAATTAAGCATAAGATAATTTTTGTTTTATGAAACATATTTATATTTAAGAAATAGTTTGTAATTTTGATAAAACCTAAAATTGTGTAATCTAATTTAATCAAAACAACATACTCCTGTATAATTAGAAAATAAGAATTAAAAAATTTTGCCAACAAAAATAAAAAGCTTATATTCACAGGACTTTTTCTTTTTATTATGGGGCTTGAAGTCACGCGCCTTTAGGCCTCATAATTTTTCTTTCTATTACAAAAATATTTATTTTTAGGTCTGTTCCGGCTCAAAGGTCCATGAGATGGCCAATTATTATTAAATAAGTTGATTAATTTTCATATTTAAAATATGTATCTTTTTCTAATTGTATTCTTATTTTTAATAACACGTAACCACAACCTCTTACAATATTCTTAAATTACTCATCACGTATATGAATGAGGATTTAACCTACTTTTCTTTTGGCTGAAGAGATTTTAACCTATTTATCATGATTTAATTGAATATAAGTATATAAGACTAAATACATAAGTTTTATTTTAATAAAATTTGTAGTGGTATGTAAAAAAATAGTACCGAAATTGAAGTGCATGGAATGTTATCTACTTGGAAGCTTGGCAATTGAAGATCTTATAAGTTAATAACAATTACTCCCTCAATTCAAAAATGTAACATATTTTTTAAAAAGTTAAATGTTTAAAAATATAAATTTTTAATCTTTTAAGGTATAAGCATTGCTTTTTTTTAAAGTGACTTTATTAATAATGACTTTATATGTCTTATAAAGTGTTTAATAAAGATAAATATGAAAAGATAAGATTAGTTTAAAAGTAGGTTACTACTTTATTGAGAGTAAAATTCAATTAAAAATGTCTTAAATTTTTTAATGGAGGGAATAAAAAACTTAAGTTTCAGAAATACTTTTTAAATACTAGGCACATAAGCATGTATAAACAAGAAAAAGGAAAAAAAAATTTCCAAATGGATTCAATTAAAAAATCAACCCAATTTTCACTTTAAATTAAATTTTCAACTCAAAAAAGCATGGTAGCCATCCATGAAAGTTTCAAATATAAAGGGGCCTTTGGCCAGAGGCAATTTGGGGAGAAAAAAAGTGATAGTGTTTGAGCTATATTTACATGAATTGAAGGAGCTTTTGGTGCCTCAAATAAGTAATTGAGGCCTCAAAAGGTGATAGGCCTCAAATATTTGAAGCAAATCTAAATTAAAGAAGCTTGCTCTTTATTATTGATTGAGTTTGAGACCCTAATGTCATTTGTTTTAGATGTGAATTTAGTATTCGGAATCCTTCAACCCTCAACTAATATGAATCAAGGTATGTTAGTCTATAAGAGCAATAAGCCTTTCTAATGAATATTTATTGCAGCTGTGTATCAAGTTTCAAAATCAATACTTCTAATTAAGCTAGCATAACTTTTAACTAGTTTAATTATGTTCTTGTCGGTAATATTTTATTATACAAAGAATACTCCTATTAGTCTTTAAGTAAAAAGTTTGTGTGGATGTAAAAAAAAAATTAGGAGAGCTTTCTTTAATTAGATCAACAATAGTCATATCTAATTCAATTAAATTTTTATATGAAAAAAATTTGAACTCAAGGTTATTAAAAAAGAAGAAGAAGAAGAAGAAGGTGAACTCTCTGAGAGAAAAATAAAACTACTTAATCAACAAAATTTACAAACTAAAGAGCAAAGTGGGTGGAGTGGTCACGGAGATACAGTTGAGAAACGTTAATGAAAAGCCAAGGGTCACAAATGTAACGGGGTGGGCCCCACTTCCTTTCATTGTCCCCCAGTACGAGCAATTAGGTAATGGCTATTCCCTACTTCGGAAAAGTAGGGACTAGGAAGTCAAGCATGAGGGCTGCAATTACGGTATTTATTTTCTTTAAATCATATAAGTTATTATTAATTGATTTATATTTATAAGAAAAGTTAATTAAAATGTTATTTAAAAAAATAATTCTTTTCAATTATGCTCTTAAGTATAATAAATATATAATTTAATTTATTTAAAATACTCCCATTAATTACTTAATAAAATAAGGGTGTACTTGAAAAAAATAAAACACTTACTCAATATCTTATATTTTAACCAGCAAAGTTTTTAAAAAATAACTTATATTATAATTAGGGTTACATATGTGCAAAATTAATTTTATAGACTAAATATTAGTCGTACGTTTCCAAAAGCCATAATAAATTTTGTAGTCCTTTATATTTATGGAAGTTATCAGCTGAGTCACTCAAATTTAATTTTATCATTTCAATTATTAAAATCTCATAAACTTATGTAACTATATGGTTCTGAATTTTATGAGAGAAATTAACATTGTTAAATTAGCTGACATGGCGAACAAAATAACAATGTGGCAACTATTATGTAAATTAATAATGTGGGAAGAAAGATGCTGACTTGGATGAGGAAAAAAACAATATATCCAATGAAACAAGTCATGTAGATTTAAAAAAAAAAAAAAAGATCCACGTAGGTTAAATTAGGAATTATAAAAGTAAAATCAATGACACATTAGCCATAGGACTAGAAGATTTGTCTTGTGTGTATTAATTAATGCATGGATTCTATATTAACAACCTAATTTATGCGGATGTTCTTTTAGGGATAATTTGTTTTGCAAATTTTAGAGTACGGACGCGATAACTGAAGCAAATTAAACGGTAAGGACTGTAATAAAATTAAATTTAAATTTGAGAGGATAAATTAATAACTTCTCCAAATGTAAGGGACTAAAAATTATGCCGTTTAAAAATGTAAGGTATTTTTTGATAAGTTAGATATTAAAAAATATAAAGCATTTTTAATCTTTTGAAGTGTAATTATTACCTTTTTTCTAAAAGTGACCCTATTGATTAATGACTTTATATTTATTATAAAGTATTTAATAGGAATAAATATGAAAAGATAGGGTTAGTTGAAAAGTAAGTAATTATTTTATTGAGAGTGAGATTCGATTAAAAATATCTTATATTTTTTAACGAAGAGAGTATTATACTT